CAATGTCCATGCACATAGCATCGTACCTGGCAGTTTATAACAGCTCCTCGTGAAATCGACAGTGAAATGTACAACATAGTCCGGATTCATAGCAAAATTTTATAAACTCTATATAGTGTCTTCCTAAACGCATAGAGGGATATATGATTTTCCTTACGTAGACAGCATGCACCTTGTAAACTGAAATCGCTTAACGCTGATGCAATGGCAGATCTGGCTCAAAATTATTCGGGAATCGGAAAACTTTTTTAAAACCTAATTATACTCCTTCCTTGAATAAAAAATATAAGGAAGACGTGATTCTCTTTTAATTGACTGAAGGAAAGCATATTTTGTTTATGGTTTCTATAAGATATATTTTAATTTGCAAGGCCGTCGACAATCAATGAGAAAAATGCGTGCTACCTAAGTAGTCATTTTTTCTACTGAGTAAGTTTTTTACAGGAGATTAAAGAGCAGCGTATTTAAAAGCTGACATCTTGCGGAGTCAGAAATATTATAGGATTATGCCGCAAGATAATTAGTATTACAACCGCGCCTAAGCAATCCTTCCTAATCGAAAACACGTTTTAGAATTTCAGTCAACATTTCATTAGATAGGTCACTCACTGTATATATCTTTTAGTTTGGAAGCCATGAATCCAAATGTGACAGTAGACCAGGTTTAAAATTAGTTAGAAATCGATAAAAAAATTTTAAAACAGAAGAATTCTCTTTCTTCCATGATAAAATGCGAAGAACACCTTATTTTCTATCGAATGAGTTAAAAAGAGTATCTTAAAGCCTGCTTTCTATATAATATATTTTAATCTACAAGAGCACCTACAGTGCTTGGGAACAAGTGATGCTAAGCCAGTACTTACGCATCACGGGACATAATTTATGCAGGCGGTTATAAGGAGCCTATTTAAAAGTCCGCATCCTGAAGTCAGTGGAATTTTATGGCATTGTGCGACATGATAATTTATACAACAACCCTATTTAAGTAGTCCTTCTGAAATAAAAGCGCATTTCAAAACTTTGCCTAACATCCCGTGAGATAACACACCTACTGTATATACAATAATAGAGGCGCAACCATCGATCACGGTAAAGACCACACTTATCCCAGTTTGCGCCTTTAGATTCAGTCTTGAGTCCTGCCCGCAGTCGCACAACGCCCAGTCCTAAGGGCAGAACAGCATTACCGACAAAGGTCAGGGTGACTGAAATGGTCATTTCTGGTTTATTAGCGGTATTCAGTTAGCCCTATCCAGCCTCAGATTCCGTAAACCCTGAGACGCGATCTCGCAATCCACTGGCCAAAAGTCTAACGCTCTAACATCTGAGCCACGGGCTGTTTTTCCTGTCGGTTACGATAGATTGCATACAGTGGTAGAGGAGTCGGGTTATGATAACGGCTAATTAGCCGGAAATGACCATTATAGTCTCCGCTGTCTTTGTCGGCTATGGCGCTTCGCCTATACATATAAATGAAAAAGCAAAATGTTATTACCGACAAAGGCCTTTGTCGGTAATAACATTCTGCCTACATCATGCGTCGCTGTGCGGCTGCTAGTTAGGCTCGAGTGAGATCCCATAAGGCACGACGGAACGAGTGAGTTCCGTAAGACCAATCGGTGAGCGTCCCCTACCATATATATGTACTAAAAACAGACATCTCAGGATGCAATTTTGGGGGAAGATTAAATTCCTTCGGAACAAAACAATGCTGTTAGGTAATTTTATTTGGACGCGTATGCGATATACAAAACAGTTAATAATTTAACTTTGTCTCGTAAACGATTCTGTTTAACCAAAGTCTGCTGCAATTTAAACTGAAAAAACAGTTTCAACATGATCACCTGGTGGCGTTGGGGAGACGAGATGACCTGCATTAGGTGATCATACGCACTCTGGACCCTGGAGACGTATTCATTAATTTTAGCCAGTCGTAAACAACCCGAGGGCCTGGATGGAATTCAAACTCACAAAAGTAGGTACACGCCTTAGATACAGTCAAGACGCGTTAAAGTTAAATTGCGTATGATGCTCATTTTCAATAAATATATCTACGGAATACGTGCTAACTCATGAATTGTTAAGCGAAATTCAAAAATGCGTTTTCGGCACAAAAAGACTACTTAAGTAGTGTTATAATCACCATGAAGCATAATCTTAAGATAATTCAGCTACTTCAGGGCTCCAGCATTTGAGCGAATTTCTTTCCGGCCACCTGCAAACTTGCAGTCTTCAAAAAATGACAAATTTATTAGTATGGATTTTCCATTGATTTTCGACGCCCTTATGAATCCAAATATATTTCATAGAGTACGTGTATAGAAATACTTCTTCTTTTACTCATTCGGTAGGGAATTACGAAATCTTTTTTTTATACTTGAATAAAGTGTACAATCCGGTTTAAAACTTTCTAGCTATGAGGGTTTTAAGACCTCTAAATAACACTTCATAAAACATCGAGTCTCTGCATTTTATAATGTTGTTTGTAAAGTTTACAACCTGGCTTAAATCCACTATTAAACTGTATGAATCCCACATGGTTCCCTCTTAATACCGCAGATGAATGTATGATTTTCCGCGCACGGAAAAGATACAGCTTGTAGTTTAAAAACCCTGGATGCAAGTGTAACGGCAGGTCGTGTTCAAAATTATTGTGGCCCTGGAGAAGTTATTAAAACCGGAGTATATCCTTCCTTGCAGTAGAAAATTTGAACAAGGCGTATTCTTCTCCCAAATAATTAAAAGTATAAATATTTTACACATGGTTTCTAGGAAATATACTTGAATTTATAAGGGCACGAAAATTCGACTAGAAAAATGCACGCTAATTAAGTATTCATTTTTTACAGAACGCAGTTTTTGCAGGCGGCCGGAAAGAACTTTGTTAAACAGCCGGAAATCCCGAAGTAACTAAAATGTCTTAGGATTATACTGCATGGTAACTGACGAGGAAACCCTCTTTGGGTATTTTTTTGGAAGTTTGGAAGACAAGTCGGTGCTCAGGAATGACCATCTAGAAAAAAAGCAGAGTTTGGTGCGCGAATAAGGACTCCTGCGAAGTCTTCTCTGCGGGTTTTAAGATTTACTCTCGAAGAGGTACTTCCTATCTCCGTAAAGCTTACTCTCAGAAGATCAAAGTAAACACGTAGAGCGCCAAAAATCGCCTTGAAGCTATATTGGAAGGTATCATTGAGTAATCTTTCGCCAGATATGAACTTGGTTTGAGGAGGAGGAGGAGGAGGAGAAATTTCAATCCATCAGTCAGCCCCTTCGTGTACCTACTTTTCGCATGAACATTAGTTGGGTAGTAAATCTCTGTGTCTAGTGGATTTGTGTTCTTAAGTTTCCACCAGTTTCGCAAAATGTTGAAAACTCCAATTGTCGCAAAATTGGTTTAAGTGCAGGCAGTCATTAATCAGATAATGTCACGTTGTTTCCGCCATTTAGTACACAGTGCGACAGTTTGGCAGTAACCTGACTGGCCTTACGCTTGCACTCATCGAAAGTAACAGAGACAGCGTTTTTTAAAAGTCACACTAACATTCTCAGATCTTTTTAGCCCACAATGATGCATTCAGAACGATATCTGCGCAATTCCAGCAGCGCTGCCCAGCTGCTGCGTAGAATATCCTGCAGAATGCCGAAGGGATTATAGTGTGAACATAGGCGCGTACGAGCTGTCCTCTGTGCAGATCAGGTGCGGCTGGCTTATTTGTTCACTTACTACCCTTCCACACACTGGAAGTGGCATGAACTAATACCTTCGGCGGAATGCGAAGTAATTTTCTACCGAAGGAGTAAAGGATTGAATATTTTTATGCATCTTTTCCATGAAATATAATTGAAGTTCTGCGGGAATCGAAAATCAATTAGAAAAATGCATGCTACTGATGTAGTCATTTTTTAATTTTTATATTCGAAGGAAGTGTATAATTCGGTTTTCAAAAACTTTTCTATTTTCCGAATAATGTTGAACCCCGATATGTCGCTACATTACCTACACGATTTACGAAATACAAACCATATATTTTCGGCGTACGGAAAACCATCTATTTCTCTGCAGTATTTAGAGGACACCATTGGGGATTCATAAAATTTAGCAATGGATTTGAGCCATATTGTTAATTTTATAAACCACATCCATGACTTTGGAGAAGTGGCGTTTAATGAACGGTCATTCCACAGTATTAAATATCTCACAAATAGAAATTATCTTAAAAGCGAGTATAAAATTGGAAGAAGACGTAATTTTCTACCGAACGGGTAGAAGGATGAATAGTTTTGTGCATATTCCCCAAGAGTAGTATCGAAAATCAATGAGAAAAATCCTTATCGTTTAAGTAATCATTTTTACACAGTATGATTTTTCGGGCAGCCGGAAAGAAATTCGTTCGAAAGCCGGCATCCTGGAGTAACGAAATTAAAATAGTAGGTTGTTGCGCTATGATCAGTTTTACAACTCTGCATAAATAATCTTTTCGAAACGAATACGCGTTTCAGAATTTCGGTTAACATTTCATGAGTAAGCACACCTACTGTGCATATATATATATATCAATCAGGAATGGACGCACACCGATCTATTGGCTTCACAAAGCAAACAAGCTCCGTATGTAAATATATATGAGATAGCACTGAGAAAGACAACGGAAAACGGAATGGCCATTTCTGGCCTATTAGCAGCCATCAGACAGTCATATCCAACTCAACGTGTGGATCAATTGATATTCGAACCCGGGATCTTTGGTCATGGAGTTTTACACTATCATTGAGCCGCGGGTCCGTTGTCTTGTCGGTCGGGATCGGGAAACCAGAAATAGCCACTCCGGTCTACCTTGTCTTTCTCCGTTCTATCTCATTACGTCTACGACAAGTTGCTGTGTGACTGCCTGTGAGGGTTCTAGCATGAGCCCAAGGCACAACGGAAAGAGCATGTTCCGTAACCTGATCGGTGAGTGCCGATCTGTCATAATATGTATATATGTATATATGTCGAAGACATGCGTGCGGACATACGCAACTGTGCTACCGGTCTCCTCCGGAAAGGAAAACAACAACAAACCTTGCCGATGGAAGAAGAGAAGGAGTTACGCTCCCTGAGGTCAGACGATAGTATCGTTGTTGTATCTGTTGACAAGCGTGGTGCTACTGCCATTACGGAGAAGAATGATTATGTCAATACGGCCATCCAAGACCTTAAAGTCAGAGAGGCCTATATTCCAATTGATGAGGATCCGGCGAAAAAGCAGGCCGCATCTATAAAGAAGAAAGTGAACGAGCTCACTCGGAAAAAGCTGATAAACCCCGCGGACTCCAAATTTCTGACTCCCATTGACATCCGTATCGCACGTGTTTATGGCCTCCCAAAGGTGCAAAACGCAGGTGCACCGTTGAGAATCATAGTGCCGCTCATTGGATCGCCTACTTATAGCCTTGTCAAGTGGCTGTACAAGCACCTATAGCACCTCACTAATGGATGGCAGTATAGCATCAACAACTCGAACGCTTTCCTCTAGAGGATCCAAGGCCTTAATGTAAGCCATGATGAATGCATTCTATCGTTTGATGTGGTTGCACTTTTTCCCTATATACCACATAACTTGGCGATTGAGAGTGTAGCCCGAAGCCTAGAAAAACTCCAATTGGCATTCCAACACAGCACGTTTTGGAACTGTTTGGGCTCTGCCTTAAGAACTATTGTCAATTCGATAGCAAGAATGACCAACAGGTCAAGGGCACTCCAATGTGTTCACCGATATCGGGGTAACTCGCCGAACTAGTCTTGCAAAGACTAGAGGAAACTGGTATTCAGGCCATCAGGCTTAAGATCTTGCTCCGCTACGTAGATGATACCTTAGTTGTCATAAAAAACTGCACCAGAGTCTTAATGGTGTCGTCCCCGCCAAACAATTCACTCGCGAAGAAGCAACAGGGGACATCCTCCCTTTTCTCGACTATAGTGTACAAAGACTGAATGATGGCAATCCTGCAACCAGCGTCCACAAAAAAGATTTCATTGCCGAAATCATCCTTAACCATAGGGGCAACCATCATGCAATCCACAAAAAGCTGCGTGCGAACTCATTTTCACAGTCACTTTCGGTACTGTAGCAGCGAGTATCTACTCAAGAGAGAATTAGCCTACTGATACCAATTATTCCGATCTAACGGATATCCGATTAGCTTCGTGAAAAACTGCCTCAGACGTCAGAGTCAGCCACAAGATCGGAGTTTGAGTGGAGAAGTGGCACAGAGGAAATATTATTCTTTGCCCTAAATGCGATGAATTTCCGAAACGATTGCCCGACAACTAAACCTGTTTGGCATCTGCATTGCACACAGGCCGGCGTCCCCCTTCCGCTCGGCATTATTCCGGCCAAAGGATCCATGTCCAAAGAACAAAAAATTAATGTCTTTTACCGTATCCCGTGCGCTAACAGCCGTTGCGTCTATATTGGTCATATGGTTCGACAATTTGGGACCCGTATTAATAAACAAGCTAACTGTCCGCCTACGCGACCCATTGTCTCTCGTGTTTGCGCACGCTTCTGATTGTGACCACCGTTTCAATTGGGATTGTACTGAAATGGTTGCAATGGCTAACACCAAACGGGCACGGGAATTCCTCGAAGCTTGACACTCCGGTGCAGGTAGCATTAACCGCCATGTTGACCTAGATGTCCACTACAAGGGTCTCCGATCGAGGTGGACTGACTGGCACCCACCTTAATAACAACAACAGCTAATGCGTGCCCGGACATGAATGATCTTGCCGACACGCCATTCATTGCTCGCTGCCCTCCTCGCCCCCCCCCCAACACGTTGAACCACAACCGGAACCCATAACACCTATCGTCAACTCCGGTGCCCATCACAACACGATGCACACCTCCCTCTCGTAAGGGTGTCTGCTTATCTCTCTGTCTGCGTCCTCAACGAGCAGTGTGACAATCCCACCTCGCATTTTTCACTTTATCTGATGACGGTTGGTGCAACAAGCTCGAAAATTTACAAGTAAATGTTTTTTTTCTACGGACTCTCTCGTTTCATATATATATATATATA